TCGACTGCGGCCTGCCTTGTTTGTGGGCTCGTCGACGAGGAGATATGCATAGTTGTCCTCGCGTACGGGCACGGGTACGATCTTCATTCTGGTCGTCGCTGTGGATGAAAACTGTGCGGCAGCGCTGGAGCACTCGAGACGGCAAGTGTATGACGCATTTTTTCTTCTGACTGACGCCCGGCCTGTCTCAGCACTGCCAATCTGATGGAAGCCTCGCGTCAAACACAACATGATCAAGCTTGATATTTCTCGGCGCGTCGGTCTAGTTAGAAGTGGGTGGCATCTTGATAGAACACCCACTTGGACCCATCACGAAACGCCACCCTCCGGGGCAATGCTGTCAATTCTGCCATCCTCATCTTTCTTCCTTTGCACTCGGACTCTTGTGTAGTCCCCTTCCCCCCTCCGTGAGTCGTCCAGTGGCTTTTCCTCGATACACGTATGGACTCAAACATCCCTATCTAGCCTGCGCCACAGCCCAAGCGTGTGCTCTGTCGCACGACCTGCTGTCCCAGTCCCTCCAGCGCTCCACCATGTCCACCGACTGTTCATCCCCTCGCTTGCCACTCTTCGTCTACTGATTCCCTCACATCCCCCCCTACCTCCTCCTGTCACCGCAACCAGTACCAGCACCACACCCACAACCAGCACCACCTCCACATCCCCAACCAGCACCTCCACACCCCCAGCTAGCACCAACCTCGCAACCACAACCACGACCAGCGCCAGCACCCCAACCAGCACCGGCACCAGTACCACACTATTGCCATCGACCGCGAATCAGGTTCAAGATCCATCCTCGAGCAACTCCTCGTCATCTAACACAGGCGCAATAGTGGGAGGCGTGGTCGGAGGCGTCGTGTTTCTCTCATGCGTCGCACTAGGCTTGTTCCTGTACATGCGCCATCGCCGGCGCAAGCGCATCGCACCATCATCAGAGTTCATCAACTCTCTCAGACCTGGCGTGGCGCCCGTATTCATGCTCGAGTCTAGTCCTTCCCAGGTTGAAAAGTCCCAGCAGTCCCATTATCTCTCGTCACCACCCTATCCAACAGGACGCCTATTATGCCAGCCCCTCGCCAAGCAGTATGGACTTCCCGACTCGACGATGTCCACAGACCATTCTCCGGGACTGCCAAAAAGGGAGAAACCGTTGGTACCAAACCGTTACTCAGCGCAGCAGGCAGCGGCGAATTCACGCTATGGCCGTGTCGATGCCGAAGACCGTCGGAGTACTGGGAGTGGGGAGTGGGACGGGGACCCCGTCATCGAAGCGCCGCGCCGCATGCGGAGTCGCAGGCCGGAGAGTGTACCTGCGTCTGCTCATCGGTCTAATTCTTCCCATCATCCACGGTCACATCAGTACCAGTCGCCGATCCAGCATTCATACCCTGGCGTTTCGCCGTTGGCTGTGTCACAGCCACAGATATCTGGGTTTGATCGTTCTACAAATCGAGACGAGTTGACTTCACCTCCCCCATCACATCGTGCGGTGTCTTTACGTCCCCAACGCCGTGAGGATTACGAACGTGTCTGGGAAGAACGTCAACCTTGAGGACGACAAGATCGACCATACTTCTGATGCCGAGTCGGAACCGAGCGACCGTTAGTGTGTGTACAGTTTGGACGGTATTTATTTTGCCAAAAAGACCCCGGTTTGTTGTACAAGTATGTTGTACTTGCTGTCCGTCCGTGTGTAGTATGTACATAGACTTGGCAAATCTTGGTTAGCACGGTGCTTATGTAATACAGCGTAATCCCTTTGTACATACGCGCGGCTGAACTAATACTAAGGCAATACTAAATTCATTGCAGGTATGTTAGACCATTGCTCGATATCGCACAGAGGTGTGGGCTGTTATAACAACCTGGATACAAAGATGTTAACGGTTTCTAGGTGGTGTTGTTCTCTGGTCGCGCTCCTTCACGCCGGAAGCGTCCCATGTTGCCTCTTCCGCTGCTTCGCCAGTTAATTCACTCATACGTGAAGCGCTGATAGAAGGCAGAACTGCAGAGCAGAAATATGAAAAGGACGGATACGCCATCAAGTGGACTTTTTTCAATGACCTCGAGTTGATCTTCGTGGTATATTTATTCCTAGACTCTCCATCTATCCCCAGCGCTAACCTACGACCTGTTCGCAGGTCGCCTACCAACGAATTCTGCAGCTCACGTATGTCGACGATCTCTTGACAGCAATGAAAACCCTTTTCATCAAGCTCTTCGAACCATTCTTGGCTACCTTCGTTGCTTCCTTGCATGCCATGAGTACCGGGAAATCCACACCCTCCTCCCAAAATGGCAATACATCGTGGAATTTTGCCAAAGCGTTTGACGGATGGGACGGCGTATTCGATAAATTGCTCAAGAGCTTCGAGGATAAGGCTGCACAGGTGAGTAGGCTGCATGTCGCAGGCGGCCGATCGTGCTCATCGGTTCACAGGAACGCAAGTCGAGGTTCAGGCCGCAGGCTCGTCCCAATCAGGTTGAACCGGAGTCTCTTTCTGACGACGATAGTACTGGTATGTGTGTCCTGCAAGGTTCGTTGACTACGCTGTGAAGCTTAGAAAAAACATAAATGGTACTCAGCACCGACGGAGTCCCCCGATGTCACTCAGGACGAGCAGCAGATAGCGAGAAACGTTCAGGCACTGAAGAACAGACTCCGGGTGCGGGGGGGAAGACATGGTGGTCGTGTCGTGTCGCCTGCGGATTCGGGAACCGGTGGTCCAGTTTCTGAGTCAGTCTCCGTTTAGGCCAGCCTTGAGTTTCCTTACGCATCTTTCCTCAGAAATGAATCGAGCAAACGCAAAACTAAAACCAAAACACAGCGAAAGTGGGGTGATGAGGTTCCCACTGAATCGGACATGGCGAGTCTTGACTTTAGCCTCGACAAGCCCGATTGCCGGCATGAATGGACGGTTGACGAATGACTTGAAGAGTCTTGTCGACTCAGCGTCTTTGGGAAATCGGACCAAAGAGGGTCTTTACGAAGTGAAGGACTGGGATTTTGGCAGCAAAGGGGATGTGTCAGCCATTGCGCAGGCTTTGAACCAGGAAGCTGCACAGCGGTCCACGAGCTCGCTCGGGGCTCTTGGTTCCCTATTCGCTCGTTTGACGGGGTCGAAGGTGTTGACCGAGCAGGATCTGCAACCGGTTCTCGAGGGAATGAAACAGCATCTCATGAAGAAAAATGTCGCAAAGGAAATTGCCGACAAAATATGTGAAGGCGTCGGCGAAGGCCTCGTCGGCAAAAAAGTTGGCGGGTTCCAAAGTAAGGCCCCATTCTCAGATTGTCCTACTTCTCTCTTATCGCGACAATCAGCTACCAGCAACACTGTCCGCTCTGCGCTGTCGGCTTCGCTAACTAGGATCCTGACGCCAAAGACCTCTACTGATTTATTGTTGTCTATTCGGACGAAATTATCTTCCCCCTCGCAGAGGAGGGTACCGTACACCATCACTTTCGTGGGTGTGAACGGTGTGGGCAAGAGCACCAATCTGTCCAAAGTTTGCTTCTGGTTGATCCAGAACAATCTCCGAGTCCTCATTGCTGCCTGCGACACCTTCAGGTGTGTACATGCTCACTTGGGCGTTGTCTGTCTATTTCTGTATTGATAAGGCTGTGACTAGGAGCGGTGCGGTTGAGCAGTTGCGTGTCCATGTACGCAACTTGAGTATGCTTGGTGTCGACGGTGCGACCGGTAGCAAAGGCCGCGTTGAGCTGTTCGAGAAGGGGTACGGCAAGGACGCTGCGGCTATCGCCAAAGAAGCCATTGCACATGGTGAGTGGGGGAAGGCAACGTCAAGGCTTGTTAATTTACTAGCGCGATGATGCCCAGCAAAAGAGAATGGCTACGACGTGGTTCTGATCGATACAGCGGGACGCATGCAAGACAACGAGGTCAGTAACATGATTTGTACCGCATCCGCCAACTGACATGCAGCCCTACAGCCGTTGATGAGGGCTTTGGCCAAGGTTTGGTTTCTTCAGCATGTTGTTTGGCACATATTCACGGCCAAGACAGCTCGTTACAGTGAATAGCCCTGATAAGATCATCTTTGTGGGCGAGGCCTTGGTCGGCAACGAAGCAGTCGACCAGCTCACGAAATTTGACCGTGCCTTGCGCGACTTCTCGTCTGCGTCATCAGGCAAAAGCCGTGGGATCGACGGCATGCTGGTGACAAAATGGGATACTGTAGATGACAAGGTACGTCTGGCTTATCACACTTCCATTCTTTTTCTTATGGAGATCTCGAACGCATCTTTGCCAGGTTGGTGCTGCCCTTTCCATGACGTACGTGACCGGCCAGCCGATCATCTTTGTTGGGTGTGGACAGGTTCGTTTTTGGTTCACATTTTCCGGATGGGTTTTCACTTATCCACACAAAGACGTACACGGACCTGAGGCAGCTGAGAGTGGACAGCGTGGTACAGGCGATACTGAGTGATTAGATATTGTCCGAATTTAGCTTGTTATCATATTTTGAAATATGTAATACTTGGGCATGCATGCTTCTAACGCTCACCTGATTCTCTCTGAAGAAGTGCCGTTCAAATTTATATCCCCCCACACTTCATTAATTTTAGCCTAGAATTATTCAACTAATCTGCCATTGCATTCCGGCCGCATGTCAACGTTTCAAGTGTTGCTGAATCTTGAGTCGTTCGCAGTTATGGCGAACACCGTGTCCGAGTTATTCATAGCCATTGATGATATCGCCGCATCGACCGCTGTCAACCCTGACTGGAAGATTAGCAGGATCCGGTGTCGCCGCTGCCGGCAGATTAGTGTGTCCACTCTCATGCTGCAGTCTTCGTATCGGGTGGTTCTTTCTGTGAGACTTCATTCCTGGATCGCCTGCGGCGTAGACGGTGGCCGGGAGTCCCCCTATGCCATGTATTTTCATGAAGAATGTAACAAGTATTCACCTGCAATGAGTGCGTGCCGTCACCGTTAGCTGACAGAATGTATAGCAAAGATTCCACTGAAACAGTATCTCTGGTAGTATATCGGATAGTACACCCGCCTGTCATGACTGTCAGTCGCGGTGCGCGGGAGAGCGGGGTTCGACTCCCCGCCAGAGAGACTTTTTTTAATCATTCAATCACAAATGAAAAGGTGTGGGACACGCATTTACAACATCCACCAGACTTGCAAGGTAATTACTGTAAGTTGCCTATCTGTAAGGCCTTCACAAATGCTCCATATTAAGAACTACTGTTGCGAAGGGCTAATATTTTCTTCCAACCACTTCCTGACCTCCTTCTTGTTCACCATGCGCATCACCTCAAGTCGCTCCTCCGGTGTACGATCACGATACAGTCGCATAATGTGCCCACACACGATCCACACATCCTCCCAGGGGGCGTCGAACAAATCCCACCACGAGTCTTGTGGCGTCGAGGGGAGGGAAATTCCCAGGTGCCGTGTGGCGAGGAGAATGGCAGCGCTGACGATAGTGGGAACCGCATATATAGTGTATACGGGTGTCTGTAATCTGCCACAATCACCGCATCCATCACAAATCCATTCAGTATAAATCCTCGGCAACGGAAAGAAGATGCTCACGCGTCATTGAGGAACCCCCACGCCTTTCCACATGCCTCCTTGTGGTTGGTAAGCCCAAGGAGACGTAGGTAATTGATGAGTGTGCCGTACGGGAGAACAACGTGCATATTGAACCCCAGGCGTTTGAGAATCTGCATTTCAGCGACGACAAGCGCGTCTTTGAGGTTGTAGAATGTGTCGCTGAAGTAACCCATGGGCGTGTATTTAAAGGTGGTTTTGCCATTGGACGGAGACACAGCGGACGAGGGAATAGCTGAAGTAGGGTCGTAGACGTGGCCCGACTCTGACAGCTGTGTGGGTTGAGGCCTACTTGGCGGCGATGAGGACGAAGGAGACGAGTGCGAAGAGAGCTCGTGTGTATTCCGCTGGAGGAGCAGGTCATACACGTTGATGAGGTCCCTCATCCGAACCGGACACTCCTCCAGTTTGGAAGCAAGGTACAGTGCGCCCATGCTGATGTCCTGCATACAAATTGGTGCACGAAGAAAGAAAAAGGAGACGAGATCCCAAGTGATTCAGACGGTCGATGAAGAACAAAAAGTGTCGCTGACCCCTATGCTAAACTGTTTCAACGACGTCACGAACCAAAAACGCTGGAACAATATCTGCGCAGTCGCTACTGCGACCTGTTTTCTAAGTACGCGGGTTGGTTATTCCGGGTGGAAAAAAAAAAAAAAACTGTGGGTGACATACTGGTTGAGCAAGATACCCGCTTGGTGTATGAGTTTGCAGCCAAACGCTCGAAGGTCTTCTTCCATTTCCTGCGGTAGTCCATCTTCTCTTGACGGTGTGTTCGCAATCTGGGAATGCGTTGCGAGTGGGACGAGTGTCGGCGTCATTGGAAGGGAGCAAACGTCGGATTTTCCCAAAACGGTAAATAACGAGCAACATAACGTTTTCGTTGCAGACGACCATGGCGGGTTTGCCCCCCAAGCCAGACTTTCTGCCCCGAACACAGAACACCCGGCCTGACAGCAGCACTCATTCCTCGCCTGATCGTCACTACCACCCTCACGATGACAGGCGAGACAACAGAGACCGGGACTACAGAAACAGGCCTGACCGTGACCGCGACTGGGATCGACGCTCATATCGCTCGCGCTCCCCTTCTCGTCCCATGATGGACAGTTATCATCCTGCATCTCCTTCGAAAGGTACATCCCCGCACGCAAGAGATGGTGGGTCTCCAGGCCGACACCATGGACCGGATTACCGAGGGCTATGATGATTCACGTGTGAGAGACGACCGAGATCGCAGAGGTGGTAGTACATGGGACAGATGGACACCTCGCTATTCCGACCGCGATCGCGAGAGAGATAGAGAATTCGACTACAGAAGGGGGCGAGAGCCGCCTGTCTCAACCAGACGAAGACCGTTCGACCAGTATGACAGAGGAAGGGATGATAGGAGACACGACATATGGCATCCTTCAGCTGAATATCGCAGGGACTCGCGGTCGCCACCTCCGCGTCGCGGTGGTGCGTTTTTTTTTCTTTCTTTCTTTATATTTGCCAATATATTTTGCTCGTTACTCATCGTACTCCTACGATCATTGACCCTAAAAAACGGGTATGCAGATCGCTACGTCGGACGCGCACGCTCCCCGGCACGCCGCCCTCCACCTCGAATTTCCTCTCCCTTACGTACCATCCGCTCACCTTCACCGCAATCACGCAGCATGAAACTAGATCCGGACGAGCCGCACCAGGCCCGATACGACCGCGATCGTATTTGGGAAAGGGGGAGTCCATACCGATACAGCCGGAGTCGCAGTCCTGCACACCGACGACGTTTTCCACGGCGCTCTCGCTCTCGCTTCACGGGACGAGGGTGGAGGGTCTACACCCAAGGTCACGCTCACCACCTAGACTAAGGTCGCCAAGCCCTACACGGCACGTAAAACAGGAGCCGGTGGACGACTATACGCTTGGGGGGAACACGTCACCCAGAGGGAGAGCATCCAACATCATCCCCTCTCTCCCATGTCAAAAAGGAGGAGGAGAGGGAAGAGAGGGTAGAATGGAGGACGTAGATTGCCTTCTCCCAGGCACGAGGCGGCAAACGAGGTCGCCCAGCGAGCCTGGCACATGTGAAGAGGCGGGCCCGATCCCCTTCTCCACTTGCGACCCATCCACGACGCGTACGGTCATTTTCGCCCTCCGTATCAGAACAAGGAAGGGAGCGTCAAAAGGAGCGACCAAGAGAACACGAGCAAGAAAAGGAGCGAGAAAAGGAGAAGAAACCAACCCAGCCGTTCCTTCCACCCATTCCCCGGTACGAACCTCGTCCGAATTTCAGCTCAACGCTGGCATACGAAGCCGAGGTGAGTTCAGTATAGCATGTCAAAACGGCGTTCAATAACCCCGGGACCCGAAATACGATCACAAAATCAGTATACCCGTCTAGATGCTCATCGCGCCAATGTCTCGGCCGAGCACCGCAAAGCCGGAAAAGCGTGGCGCCGTGCGCTGCACGAACTTGACATGGCTACCCTCGAGTTGAGGGCCGCTCAGCACCGCCGCGAGCTTGCGGAGAATCTTAGAAAGCGGGCACATGCTGGTGTACTGGGAATAGACGCGACTGCGGGAATAGGGACGGCTCCGGGAGGTTCCTCTGCGGCGGCATGAAGGCTAACAGTCCAAGTGGTGTGCGAGATTTACAGCATTCGGGTGAAAGAATTTTACGCGTTACGGATTGCTACCTGCTGTGCTGGGATCTAATAGTGTATATGCTCGGAACATAATGGAAGTCCTCGTTTGAATGCCTAGCATATACATTGACTATGGCACATATATCGTCATGGCTACTTCGGCAACTTCCTACAAACCATGTGTGTCCGCGAGGGATCCGAAGGGAGGGCACAGTAAAACCCATAGTTCTACACAGGAACAGAGTCATTCTAATAGTGAGCACTGCTGCCAAAAAGAGAAAGAAAGGAAAAACAAGGAGGACATGGTACGTAGCAACAAATGGCGCGAGGATGTCATTCAAACGCATTGTACTCTTGGCTTGGTCTTACCTGCATATCAATCTGGTGGCACCGAATGAATAATGTCTGCCTGCGTGCGGACGCGACCCTGATCGCAGTAGACCCCCTGGAGACTTGATGACATCGACTAAATTCCGGCCCCCCTGGGGACGCACGCACAACAGACATGTTCCCAAGCCAAAAGAACAGCACTGAAAAAAGGGGGGCAGAAAGGAGAGCGTATTACGAAAAACCCGGACTGAGAGCGGCTCACCTGCATTGCTGCGAACAGCTGTGTGGAGTACATGTCGAGCTGCGGAGATCAATGACGAGTTATTTTCGCGCAAGACAATATAATTCGGCGGGAAGCCGGCACAAGAAAGATTTTTGTATGACGCAGAATTAGGTGAAGGCAAGACAAGCGTGAAACCCCCCGTATGTTCCGAAACAACCACGCAGTTGACGACACGAATGATTTCAATAAGGACTAAAAGCCATTGGACTCACGGCGATACAATTCTTTTGCCGACCCCTTTCCGGCTGTTCATTCGTAGCCATGATCAACGTGTTGACGGGTCTCCGGCTGACTCGAGAGTTCCCGGCAGATCACCGTTCGCGCTGCGCCGCGTCCGCTGTCAAACGTGTACACAGCAGATGGGTCCTGCCATGCTTGGGTTCGCTATCAATGAGCATCAAAGAAGTGTGTTGGCACGGATAATATCCAGGGTACGTACTGAGAGAAATGAGTTCAATGATTCATCTGCGTCGCTCGGCTTCTTGCTGCTTTGATCTTGTGCCATGGCCAAGCTTGAGTGCAGCTGTCCGCTGGTTTCAGGTCATAAAGACTTGGTGGTACAAGTGACCGTGTCATTTAGCATAATAATATGACGTCTGACTCCACCTGCCGTGTCAACTGTACACCGTTGTCACTAGGCCAGGGGTACGCAAGTGTTCATATTCCCGTCGTCAGGGTCAGGATATCGTATCATGCACTGAGCCAGATTCGTATGCTACCAGGTACCAGAGTGACAACGAAGTACATTATTAGCACGAGCATATAATGCAGAGAAAGTACTGTATCATGCATTTTGTATAGTACATTCGAGCTTTGGGAAGAATGAAGTCAACGATGCAATGCAGCTTGTTATGTAAACCCGTAATGAATGTGGACAGGGGAAACGTAAGATGATACAGTACAATTGGCAGGAACGGCCAAGCAGCTCAGGAGAGTCCGACCGAAAGGTGAAATTCATGATAAACAATGTACCCGGATTGGTTTCTTCAGGTCATTCAGTGCTAGCAAAGGGGAGGATTGCGCTTAACTCCTAGGCACTCGGAAAGCGTGAAAGTTTGACCGTCACGGCGTGGCACCGCCAAAGCCAAGGCCATGATGCCGGCAACCATATATGTACGTACGTATATGGCGAGGAGAGGGGCTGCGCTGCAGCCATCCTGCAAACTTGTGTATGGATGATTATGTGGGTTGTATGCATACGAGGACCAGGATCCTGGCTTCTAAGGCGCGGATACCAATAGTGTGGTAAATTG